ACCGACACAACAGCAACCAGGTTCAAGCCTAAAAGAACACCTAACGGTCACTGTGAGGAAATACCGTCCCGCTACTCTGTCCCACACGGCAGCAAAGACTCGTCGGACAGGCTTCTAAAGGGATTGTTAACAGCCGTACAACAGAATGACCCCAGCTTTAAATAAATATAGTTATGTTTGAATGCGACACAATCATGACAGCAATAAATATCTATGGCATTACATTCAGATGTAACGAAAAGCAATGACTGGTTTTATCTATGATCTAGATAACACATGAATATCGTATAAAAACAGGGACACGAACTGAACACAGTCACCAGTTCTTTAGTTTGGTTAGTGTAACGTGACCTCGGCGCTGACCTTTTCATCCTTTAGTCCAGAATCTGCTCAACGGCACTCTGTGGAAACAACACAACTCATCTGGTTCCAATTATGAGCACAAATCCTTCTTCTCTCTCATTTAGGGGAAAAATAACAAATGGACACAGAGCGAGCGTCAGGTGGCTGATCTCTGAGTGTGTCTCCACACCTCCAACCCGTCTACAGCACCTAACCGTACATACATCTACAGTTTAGTGAATCCAAGTTTGACTCTAAGGGAAACTCAAAAGAGCAGCATCCTAGAGCTGGAGCTGATTGGCTGAGATTCAGAACAAAACTCTACATTCCGTCTCAGTCCCACCTGAATTCGCTCACAACAGATTTGCCCTGAAAGGCTCTAGCCTTCACAGGTACCTCCTGATCAGTTTGTGTTCAATTAAACACAGCTACTGCATTACTGCAGAGGGCAAAAACACTAACGTGGTAACTTGCAGAAGATGGTTTTGGCATTAATCAGCTTTAAAACATCTCTGAAAACGTGCACTCCTTTAGTGAAGCGTGCTACTGATTTAGTCGCGCCGCGAAACAACTAAAAACAAGACAAGACACACAAACGCACACGTGGCAAAGTCTTCACAGCCTGAAGGAAAACAACATTAAGATATGATAGAAAATACCAAATATATAAAAAGCCATCTCTGTATAAATACAACAATCACAACGAAAGAAAATTTAAGAGGATTCCTTTGGGGGGGGGGGGGGGGGGGGCTGCTGCTGACGTAACAACACAGTAACAGGTTTGAGAGCAGTGCATTAAATTACCAAAATCATCAGTACAATAAAATATGAACACATAACGGATCTTATTGAGGATATTCTGTAAACAGGCTGAAACAGAAATCTGACAGATAAATAGCGGCTATGCTGAAAGTGTGTGACGGTAGTAATCCACTAACAGAACCAGAACTCACACACCGTACGAACACAACACACACCACTCTCAAACCCAGAGGACATGGAATGACCTGCTGTCTGTTTATATTTTCCCAGACTTGTTCCTGCTCACACAAAAGCATCAATCCTCTCAGAGTCGGGGGAGGGGGGAGGGAGCCCCGTCTCTGGGCCGTAGGGGGCGGGGCTCTTAAGCGTTGACCTCCATAGCTGGCAGCAGGCCTTTCTCGATCAGGTGAGCCTTCAGGGAGTTAAAGATGTGGAGCTGCTGATCAGGGCGGAGGGCCAGCAGCTGCTGGATCACCTTGCTGGGGTTGGGGCCCCTGAGAGAAAACAGCAGGCATGAATTTACTTCAGAACATCCACTTTCCCTTCGTGTTTGCTGTCCCTCTGCACGATCTCGGCTGACGTGTTAGCTTGTGGCAAAGGCTTTCTGCCTGTGGCTTCAGGGAACATCCCAGATTTTCTGGACCTGGGTTTTGTAAACTTTATATAGTTTTACCTGATGAAGCTTGCAATGTAAACATTGACAAATGTGGCCATGATATACTGGCAGTCAAATCGGTCCATAATGCCACCGTGGCCTGGGATGGTGTTGGCAAAGTCCTGTAAGCAGAGAAGAGACGACGCTGGTTTTCACATCTAAACATAGCGAGCTGGTATAGAAACAGCAGGCATAGAAACCCAAACAACAGCCAGGTTCTGGGGGTTCTTATTACATCTCTACCTTGATCTTAAAAGCTCTCTTGAAGCCACTGGCAAAGAAGCCACCAAAGGGTCCAACGATGGAGGCGAAGGAGGAGAGAGCGATGCTGTGGATCTGGAAAGGATACAGACGCACCGTGGTCTGTGGAGAGGAGGACGAGTTAGCTTCACAACGTTATGGTCAGCCTACCCGACAGACACAAACCCAAACCAAGACATACCCATCCTGTGACTGACTCCAGGACACTAGGCAGAGTGTATTCCTGTAGCTGGAAGAGCTCCGACGGCTCACAATCCACCTGGAAGCTGTTGGAGTCGTTGTTGAACTCCACCGGACAAACAAAGTAGCGGCAGCTGGCCATGACGTAGGAGAGCTGAGAGAGGAGTGTTAGGGCCTTAGTTTACCACCACACACACACAGCAATCATTTTACCATTCTAGGCTTGTTTGTTTGTCCCAATAAAAGAATAAACAGCTCACCAAGATTCCAAACACAATGGTGGCAAACAGCCCACCAATGAATCCCTCCCATGTCTTCTTAGGGGACAGCTGCAACAAACACAAGATTATTGATCAGTTATGATGTTTTTGCCTGTCTATGCATTCAGACATGCATTTGTCTGTGGAACCACTGGCTGTAAGTAACTGCTGGTCTATAATCGATTTACTTATGGAATCAACTGAATTCAAGATGGCTGCCACAGGCAACCAAGCTGAGAAAACCCACAAACAGCTGTAAAATGAGATTTAGCAACACAACCTCATTAGAACAGATTTCAGTGTGACCATACTCTGACCCAGGTCGAGCTCCACCTGCCCCTCAGGGATCCGGTTCTGGCAGGTCGTGTGCGACTCCTGTACAGGGCAGCCACATCTCAAAGATTTGAACATCATTTTTCAACAATTGTTTTCACTCATGTGAAAGTTGTTATGCGCTGCGTCTGTGGATGGAGTAATTGGGTTTTTTTTTTGTTACTGGGGACTTCACAACGTCGGGTCCGTGGAGGAGCAGAGGAGAGTGTGGGGACTGGCATGAGCTCATGCTACAAGGAGTTCCAGGGTTGCTGGGGCAACGGCGGGGGATCTCCACAACAAGGACAGACAGCGGCTCCATTGAGGGGAGGAGTTTCCGGGACGCGGATCAGGAGCCACACCTGCAGCAAATGAACTAATTGCTCTTCTCACCTCTTCAACCAGGATTTAAGCAGTCCATGGACGCTCCGTCGAGGAGCGACTCGTTAACCTTGAACTCGTCTCCGTAGCTGCTTCGTTGTGCACATTTACTGGGTGGCAAATTCAATAAGTGTTTTTAGTAAATAAGAGATTAAATTTCTCAATTATTTCGTTTACGTCATTCTATGTGTCCTACAAGACGTTTGACAGACGTGTGTGCAACTTAAGTTCAAAAAGGAGCTACTTCTCATCTGTACTCAGTTCGGAGACAGATTTGTTTCCAGTTTCCCTTTTGGTACCCCGAAAAGGGAAACTTTCAGTTTGTAAACAGCGGCATTAGAAGCCCTAGGCTGTGCAATTCTGTTGGGACACTAGAAGTTCACCCCTTTTCAGGCGGAGAGATGGGGGCTCGTCCGAGGTTTTTTTTGGGTTTGTTTATTATATCTTTCCCGTTTTGTTACTCAGAATACTGAGGTAGGATTTCAGCCCGGGGGGGGGGGGGGGGGGGGGGCGTTTGTGGTATCTTCTGGTGGTATGGTCACCTTTGTCATTTCTGATTAATTTTGAGAGGCAATGTCTACATTTAATTTGAAAGACTTTCTTGACGCACCTTCACGTAGACAACTGGTTAAGTGTCGCAAGAGCGAATTACTAGAAGTAGCTGCCTACTTTGGTCTTACTGGCACACAGCACATGCTGAAGGCTGACCTCCGGGCAGAGATTGTCTCCTTTATGGAAAATAAAAAGCTTCTCTCCCCTTTGGCTGATATTGCTGTTTTGCCTTCACAGCAGGAAATGGACAATGCGGAAGGTGAAGAGACAAAGAGCGCATCCGAGGGTGGTGATTCGGAGGACGGAGCGGAGGACATGAAGACACCAGAGCGGGGTGAGGTCCACAAATCTCCCCCAGTAACTCTTCCTCGTTACGATCCAGGGTCTCCGGAACCGAATCGAGATCGGTTTCACTTGATCACGCCCGGTTACAGTTGCGACTCGCACGCCTGAAATATGAGGCAGAGGACAAACAGCGAGGGCGGGAGTTCGAGCTTCGCAAACTGGAACTCGAACTGGAAGCTGACACGAGAATAAAGATGAAACGAATGGAGCTGGAGATGCAGGCTGAGAGAACTGTCCGTGGTGCTGATACAGCATCCAGAGGCTCCCTGGCAGCGACTGAGAGACTGGATGTCGGGAAGTGCATGGGGCTGATGCCGCCATTCCGGGAGGCCGAAGTGGATAGGTACGACACTACGACACTCAGTTGGCCGCGTGAAGTATGGCCTCTTCTCCTTCAATGTAAGTTATCTGGAAAAGCGCAGGAGGTAATGACTGCTCTGTCCGTCTCTGACTGTGCAGATTATGATACTGTTAAAGACGCCATTTTACATGCCTATGAATTAGTGCCAGAGGCTTACAGGCAGAAGTTTAGATCTCTTCGTAAACGTGATGAGGGGCAAACATTTGTTGAATTTGAAAGAGAGAATGGTTTACTGTTTGATAAGTAAGTAAGTAAGTAAGTAAAAGTTTATTTATAGAGCGCCTTTCACAGATATAAATCACAAAGCGCTGTACAACATGATAAAGATCAGGGCAAATACCTCAAACCAATAAAAACATAGAAAAACAATAGCAGTGATAAAGTAGAAAATAAAATCATGAGTATAAACAAAGTGAACGTGTGAACCCGAACAAAGCCATCATTCTGAAACATTTAGGGAGGGAACGCCTGGATGAAAAGGTGAGTTTTTAGATGATTTTTAAAGACCTCTACAGTGTTAGAGAGACAGAGATTTGAAGGTAGACTGTTCCAAAGTCTGGGTGCAATAGTCTGAAAGGCCCTGTCCCCTTTGGTTTTCAGTCTGGTTCGAGGAACAGCCAGGAGGTTTTCAGATGTGGATCTAAGGTTCCGAGAGGTGGTGTGTGGGGATAAAAGCTCAGATAGGTAGCTTGGAGCCTGGTTGTTAAGAGCTCTATAGGTCAGCACTAAAACTTTAAACTGAATTCTATATTCTACCGGGAGCCAGTGGAGGGACTGTAAAACTGGAGTGATGTGAGCTTGTCTGCTGGATTTGGTTAGGAGTCTGGCTGCTGCATTTTGGATGGCTGCAGTCCTCAAAAGTGACCAACCTGAACGAATTACGAGAGTTAGTTCTACTGGAGGAGTTTAAAAGATGTCTTCCTGAAAGAACGGTGTTGTATTTGAATGAGCAGAAAGTGAATATCTGTCAGCTGCAGCACTTCTGGCTGATGAGTTTGTACTCACACACCGGGTTAAAGTGGAGAAAGTAGGCAGAGACAGATCAAGTGCTGTAAAACCTAGGCAATTTGAAAGAAACAGAAACAAGTCCACCAAGGTGCTTTTACTGTCACAACCTGGGTCATATTGTCAAAGATTGTCTGATCTTGAAAAGGAAAGAGAGGAAAAATGACCGTGTGGTAGGGTTATATGCATTTTTATGCCGATGACACAATGATTTATTGTTTTGGATCGAATCCTTCTAGAGCTGTCGAGTCACTGCAGAAAGCTTTTGACGTGGTCCAGCATACACTTCTGCAGCTAACGCTGGTTCTAAATGCTGAAAAACCAAACTAATGTTGTTTTCTAACGCCAAGAAGGCCTCTCAAACTATTCCCTTAGTGTCTACTCTTAAGGGCAACATCATGGGGACGGTACACACTTACAAGTACCTCAGTATTTTACTTGATGACTCCTTCACTTTTAAATACCACACAGATAATTTTGTGAACAAACTTGAACTTAAATTGGGGTTTTTCTATAGAAATAAATTTATTTTCTCATTGGAAGAAAAAAAGCACCTTGTAAATGCAACGTTTTTATCTACTTTGGACTATGGAGACCTGTTGAGCAGGGTGGCACTTCTTACCCTCCAGGAGGCCAAGTCACTGGTATATTTTTATTTACAAGGCTATACTTGGTCTACTGCCCTCCTATATATCTGCAGTTTAATCGCATGGAGGAGTTCTGGATCTTACTGTCTGTGCTCAAACGATCACTTAATGCTGGAGGTCCTGTTTGTGCATACACATTTGGGAAAAAGCTTTCATTTACTCAGCTCCTTCTACATGGAGCAAGCTTCAAAAAGATTGGAAATTAACTGAATTTATTTCACTAAACACTTTCAAGTCCAGAGTGAGAACATTCCAGTCGAACTCCTTACATTGTAGTTGGTTTTCATGACGTGTATGTAATAGAATTTTTTTGTAACTTTTGTAACTGTTTTGCTGCCTCTTGGTCTGGACTCCCTTGTAAAATAGCTTTTTAATCTCAATGGGACCATTGGTGGTTAAATAAAGGTTAAATATTAATAAATAAATAGTGTCAAAGCTCTAAAAAGCGGATTTTTCATTATATGGAACCTTTAATAAGGATTGATTTCTATTGTTTACTTAATAAATATAGAAATGTGTTTTTATGTTTTAAGCAGCCACTGGTGAAGGCTATTACTGACCTTAATGAGGGGGGTTCGGCCAAAGAAGAAACCAAACATGTAGGCCATGATGTCATTGCAGATCACACAGGAAATGGGCACAATGAACCTTTTCAGACAAAGATGATAAATCATGTGTTAGTCAGAAGGAATTAAGATAATTCCATTTCTAACTAATGAGACTGATGGTTTAGCAGTACTGCCAAAGACTCACCAGATCATCCCCTCAAACAGGTTGTGAATGATGAGGTGAGACTGAGTCACCACGATCAGCAGGGTCACGTGGGTCCAACCAAACTGTGGAGACATCAAGTAAGATTAAGCTGGGATGTCTACACTTCAACTCAAGCATCAATGTTCTCTCTCACACACACACACACACACACACACGCACACACGCACGCACGCACGCATGCATGCACGCACGCACGCACGCACTGGTGGTGATGCCCTGGGGTACACTGATGGAGGCAAGGCTGCCAAGCACAGGTTCCACTAGTCCCTTTGACCGAAACCAGAAGGCAGTGTATTGCTCAAGGGCACAACAGCAGAATTCTCTGCCTAGAGCTGAGATCGATCCTGAGCTACTGCTGCCCCAGAACATATTTAAACACAGTTGCATTGTTTCTTCAGAGGGGAAGAATAGCTTTGGTATCTTTGGCATGTTCGTGTACTGAATGATGTCCTGGCAGCAACTGATGCTGGTTCCTATGTCCTGTGATTACTGCTCGACCTCTTGGCATCATTTAATACAGTCGACCGCAATAATCTGTTGAACGGGCTGGAATCATGGGTCTTTTTTAGTGATGCACAGATATGACATTTTGGGGCCGATACCGATATTAAGATCACTGTTAAGGCCGATAACCCATATTTGCCGATACCGATATACTGACATTAATGCTTCTAAAACCAGTAGGTTTTGTATAAAATGAAAATTAATGAAGCTGAACTTACGTTATTATGTACACACACTTATGGTTCTGAGATGATTTCACTCACTGTTCACATGAATAAATTACACATCACCCCCTCACCCTCTGAAACAGGCAAACAAATGGAGACGAGATGGAAAAATTATTGGTTGTTAATATCGGCCAAATTTTATTTATCAAACTGATACTGATATGTTAAAAAATTACTAACATCAGCCGATACCGATATTGATGCAGATATATTGTCCATCCCTAGTCTTTTTCAATTTTAATTAAAGCTTTTAAAACTCTAAATGGTCTAGCTCCCCTCTAACTGTCGGAGCTGCTCTCGCCTTCCATCCCCTCCAGGTCATTATGGTCTGCTGACCACCTATTGCTATGTGCTCCCAAAAAGAGCTACAAAGCTCGGGGGCAGCATGATTTCACTTTAGCTGCAGCTAAACTGTGGAATGCGCCTCCTCTGTCCATGTGCCAGCTTAAATCTAACTTAAAAATATATTTTCTGTCATTTAGCTTTTGGCCCATGAGCTTTTTTTGATGCTGCATCTTCGTTTTACTAAAGGTTTTAGAATTTCTGTTTGATCTCACCTGTTTTTATTCCTATGACTGTTAAACATGCACTGTGTGTATGGAGATGAGTTTTAATTCTGTGGATTCGTGTCTGACGCTTTTACTCTGTGCAGCGCTGCGGTCAGCAGACATGCTGTTTTTAAATGTGCTATACAAATACAGTATGGTTAGGAGCAGATAGAGGTACTTCAGTCAACGGTGGCACAGGAGTTAGGTGCTCGGCCCGTAATCAGAAGGTTGCAAGTACGAGCCCCGCTCAGTCTGTCTTGTTCTTGGGCAAGACACTTAACCCCCCTTGACCGGTGGCGCCTGTGCAGACTCTCCTCTGTAAGTGTGCCCCAGGGCAGCTGTGGCTACAATGTAGCTAATGAATGGGTGAATGACTGATAGTGTTGTAAAGCACCTTGGAGGTTTCCAGGACTCTAGAAGGCGAAGGCGCTATATCAAATACAGGCCATTTACTTTATTTAGAAAAATTATTTATTTGTGCCTTCTTCAACAATGTATGGTGGACTGCCATCTGTAATGGTGAGTACTTCACGTTGTTAAAAGGTCAACAGGCAGGACACCTATGTGTGTGTGTGTGTTTGTGTGTGTGTGTGTGTGTGTGGGGGTCTCACCATGTAGAACTGAAGGCGATAATGTTTCTTCACCAAACTCAGCACAAACATGCAGAAGCCTACAAGAGCAGAGAGACTAATGACATCAACCTGAACATCTATGAAGGAGGAGGTAGGAAGTAGGTCATCTTGTTAAAAGCTCATTTTTCTTGACCTATTTTAAGTCTCTCTAATGTGAAGAGTTTAGGGCTGTGGCACCTTTTTACATGCCTGATGAGAGGAGGCTATAAAGCAAAGACAGACAGAAGGTGCTTGTAATTTATGAAAACTGTGCAGCTCTAGAACTGATGCAGCAGCAGAAACAAACAATACTGTCAGCTGCTAAATTTCACCTAGAAACTAGAAGCTGACATGAGGTAGAAGCAGTCGGCGTGCTTCCTACCTCCTCACATCCTGTTTGGCATCAGTCAGCAGTACTGTTTAACTAACTGACATCCTGCAGGTCAGGAAGTGGTTACACACCAACTCTTAATAACATGTAGAAATAAACAGTTGTATCCAGTTATTTGTTACCGTTTGACTCTGGCAAAAAATCTACTTAAAAGTAAGGATTTTAAACATTTTCAAAAGGCACCAAATAAACTCTTTGCTTAGCAATTATGCTAAAGGAGTGTGTCTCAAAAATAAACACAGCCCCACACATCGCTAGTGGGTCCTAAGAGATCAATTAAGGGATTATTTTTAATGAGTTTGTGCTTAATGATTATTTTGTAGTTTATTTTTATTATTAAGCTTTTAAACGTGCCTTCTAAAACAAAGTTCACCATTTTGTTTGGTCGGGACTCATACTTCTAATACTAGACCAGAAAGAGTCCTGGATAAATGACCACGAGTCTCACCCCTGTGAAAGTGTAGTGAAACGTACTTCGCTGTAATTAGCCACCATTACCGCGGCAGCAAAGTAGAACGTTTTCTATGTTTTTTCTTCAGGCACTCGAGGAGTACCGACGCTTCCCTCTTTCGCTCCCTTATCTTTTTTTCCCAAGGCTCTTTGTCCTGTCTGCCCACAAAGGGCTTCTCTGCATTTCTTCTGAAAAACTCTATTTTTACTAACCATGGATTTGATAAACTGGTCATTCAATGCGATCGATAAGATTTTTTCAACAATGAGAACGGAGCAGGGGGCTCCAACATGTCCACAGGGGACACACCCGGTGGGGTATATGTTGGATTCCTGGAAGGAGTGGAAGATCATATGCCTCTGCCAGCTGTCCATTGAGGACATCGAAGAAGTGTGGATATTCGGCCTGATGATCACTGGATTTCTCCTGATTGGGGTGGAGTGGGAGGATATCTGGTTTTCTGGAAATTTGGGAGGACGGGAGCGATTGGAGGGCAACCCGCACCAATGGAAAGCACCGTCCATGTGGAGACTTCTCAGAGTGGGACGTTACTCGAGGTGAACCGTAAGCTGGACAATGTTCTAGCTGCGATACCGGTGCGCAAAATGGATGTCATCTCAGAGACGGTCACCGGACGGTATGGACAGGTTTAAAAACCCAAAATTGGCTTCACTGAAGGACTGGAAATGATCAGTTTAAAGACTGAAGGCAGAGAGGAAAGTTATCTCAGCCTGACCCAAACAAATTCTTGTTATATGAATCTGACGCCCTGGTAGCCTTGAGCTGCAAGCAACTAAACCCCCCACGAAGGAATGCAGACAGATGCTGTGAACCCCCGCCTTTGGATTGGTGGGCTTCAGCCTGGCGAGGTCATCAACTGTAGGAGTCAATGTACTCTTTGCTTCTCCGAAGATCTCCCTTCCACCTGTGACTGTACAGTAAATGAGCGACGGAGATGGCTGCTTTCGCTGGGCGAAACAGGATCCCAGACCCCCCCCTGCCTTCCTATTGGAGTCTCATGTTATGTTGTGTTGTCTGAAGTCTGTTGCATATCTGTCGAGGTGATTTTTTTGCAGAGCAAAGCTGCCCTCCCGGTGGAGGGTAACTCTGAAGTGCCTTTTTTCCCTCCACCTGAACCAATCCTCATGTAACCCTCTTATCTCTATTAAGGTAGCGCAACTCGGGTTGCGAATGACCACAGTCACCAATTCTTGTCATGTGTCTTGCCCATGTATGTCTGATCTCTGAATTGTGTGTACTGAAACTAATTTCCTTCTGGGATTAATAAAGTATTGATTGATTGATTGATTGATTTATTGATTGATTGATGCGTTCCAGAAGCAAAGGGATGCTATCATTAGGTTTTCAGACTATTTCCTTGGTGCTATGCTTTTAAAACACAGCAAACCCACAGTTTAGATTGGGCCAGACAGGAAGTCAAACACAAAAGCAGTGTAAACCATCTGGAAACTTTCAAAATAAAAGGTCATGTGCAGATTAACCAACAGCATTTCCCATAAAACCCCCATAGCCGAAGTAAACAGAACAGAGAATAAACCCCAGACCTTTCTGGACACATGCAGCTGTCTTTCTCCTTGCTCGTTGTTGTGTGGACCTCTAAAATCAGGCGTGGTGATGCAGTTCTCCTGTGATTTTGTGACTTTGTCAGTGCGCCCCAGGACAGCTGTGGCCACATAGCCCATCATCACCAGTGTGTGAACGGGTGGGTGACTGATTGTGTTGTGAAGCACCTTGGGGGGTTGAAGAATCCTAAGATGGCGCCATAAAAATACAGACCATTTGCCATTTACATTTACTTTTCGGGACCAGCGGCATGGAACGTTTTGGAAGATGTGCTCCCAGTTGGAAGGGAGCTGGCAGGTAAAACGGCTCCATGTCTTTCCACGCGGCGTTCACCTCCAGTGGAAAGCTGGGGTTAAGACTGTCAGACTAATTGCGGTCTGGTCTCTATACGGCTTCTGTACAATCACAGCATTCAAACTGGCTGCAGTGCAGCGTGGACCTGGATGCAGGGAACATTCCCGCACTGAGTCCATTGTTTATGGACGTTGCATGTGGATTGCTACGAAGTTAAAGAAACGACATGAGCCAGACAGGAAGTGAGACGTGTATCCTTTAGTCGTCAATGGCAGTGAATGAGTTAAAAAAAAGGTACATCAAATTTTTATGTAGTAGCGCCTTTTTGGCCCCCTGGAGCTTCCGTAGCGTTAGTTTCACATAACCGCGACAACAACATCACAGCACGCACACAAAACAGCAACAGCAAGCGACTCCATGGCCACCGGTGAGAGTGGGAAGTTTGTTCCTAAAAAAGGAATGACATCATCCATTGTTTGGAACTGGTTTGGGTTTGCTGCGACGGACATGGAGCGTGGCACTTTTATTCCAAGAGGGTGTTCATTTATTCATTACTCATCTCAGAAATGAGGTTACATTTGTCCTGCTTGTGATTAAATAAAAAACTAAATTTGCTTTAAGGTGTCTTCCATTTGTACGTATTGCTATTTTTAATAACTGAGGGGGAGAGAGAATCAGAAAAAAATAGCAAATCGAATAAAAAAATACTAAATTTGAGATTTTATTTTTAGGCCGTATCGCCCAGCCCTGTTATACTGCTGCACCCTGCCAGTAGGTTAACGAAAGAGGGCCACGCTACAAGAGTAAGCCAATTCAACTTAATTAAATAACATTCATAATATAAAATCACAATTTTACTACATCTGTGCTAGAAGGCTTTTAATTGGTTTATTTGTGCTCAATATTGAGATTTCTGCATGTCTAAATCAATCTAAGAATAAATTAGACGCTGCTACAGCGGCCTCACGGGCTCTACTCAGTTTGACCTGTGGGGGGGGGGGTACCTGTGAGGTAGAGGGCAAAGGAGATGAAGCGATGGTATTTGCTGAGGATGCGGAGCGGCTCCTCTCGTTGCACCAGGGTGAAGAAGTAATCCGTCACAGTCTCACCATAAAAGAAGTAGTTCACACACAGCAGGAAGTACCTGTAGGGCAGAAGGTTGCAGCTCTGACTCAGAACAACTAGCCAGACTCAATGTCTGCAGAAGACCTGAAAACATGGTTCACCAATATTTCTCTGGAGAAAAATGGAGGATGTGTCAAATTTTTAACTGTCCATTCAGATATGTTTAATTTTCAGCAGGTTTTTCAGGCTTGAAGCAGGAACTCCTACAACACCTCCCACCTACTGCTACTGCTAAAACTCATCGACTCCTGCCACTATCTGGTGATTGTTATCAAAATCTACCAACAACAAAAGAACAGCAAACAAACTTCAGAACATCTGCAACTAGAGAGAAATGAAACAACTCAGTGAGAAAGATTCAGGGTATCTGCAGGTTTAGGGGAGCCAAATTTAAGACTTTTTAAGACCTTTTTAAGGCCACTTTGACCAAATTTAAGATATTTTTTAAAATTAAATTTAAACTATAATTTCCAGCTATTGCCTGGAACCGGTGCGAACCACGTTGCGAATGTGGGATTAGCCATCCAGTTACCATAAAAGTTGCACGTCCCCATGGTGCAATCTCCCACTAGCTTAAACAGCTAATGTGCTCATCTAAAAAAGCCCCCTTTCATAACCAACTGAATGTGTATGGTTCCGCTTACGCCAACATCGTACACAAAAAATGCTGAACACTAACTAGAAATTCATGAAAATTGAAATAAAATAATCTTGTTTATTGGGTCTTTGGTAATTTAAGACCTTTGGAAACTGTATTTAAGGATTATTAGTAATTTTTAAGGATTTTTAAGGCCTTAAATTTGGAAAAGCAAATTTAAGACTTTTTAAGGACCCGCGGATTCCCTGAAGATTACACATGAATGTGTGTGTGTGTGTGTGTCCGGACCAGCTCAGCGTCCGGAACCAGGGCAGGTCATAGGAGTGGTACACGCTGTAACCGATCGTGATGATTTCGTGGAAACACTTGATCTGAACACAAAGGACCTGCACAGAGAGACACAAACAGACAGACATCACATCCTAACGTGCGTGCCCCAGACGGTCGGCTAGCATGTCAATTTTTATAGAATTATCAAAACTTTTGTAAAAACATCAAGAGACAATCAATATGCTGAAAAATCCCTGAATAAACAAAATGTTCTGGTATCTGGAAGCAGTTGGATATAAGAGTACTACACTGGACATTTCAAGAGTATACTCAAGTAATTCCTTAAGTTTAAACAAGGCTTTAAAGGGACAGAAGGTCACACACACACCATGGCAGACGCTATAAGGAGGCTCCTGACATCACAGGAAGCCAGAGGTAGAAGAGTAAACTCACCAACGACAGCTCAGACGAAATAACCTACTGACTTAGTGTTCTGTGACTAAAAACCAGTAAGGTTGTTTACGACTGGTGTTTAGGATGATAAAACACTATTTCTGCATTTCTTCACTGAGGCAGCAGCAGGTTAATGTCATGCTTCATATGTGTGCTGGAACATGGATGGTTTTAACCCAGCCTCTCTAGTCCTGCTAACCATTAGTTATGTTTGTACTCACAATCATCATAAGCACCATGGGGCCCAGGTAGATGATGATGAAGAAGAAGGAGATCATTGCTAGCGTGAGGATACCTCGCACCCACCAGTTCTTCCATCTGAGGAAACAAACCCCTCTGTCAGCTTCAAGGGGAATAAATCTGATTTCAGGACAGATTTCAAACATTTAAGTCAATCAAAAGACTGAAAGAAAGACAAAAAGATCTGGTCACTGCAGAAGTGTGACGTGCAGAAATGTAGCTGAGCTCAAACACACAGCAGGTTCCAGACGAACCATCTACAGACAGGCTGGAGGATCACGTAATAAAAAGCCTGATGTGGACAGATGGTTTTCTAATGAATCATGTGTTCTCTGCATGAGTAGATGTGCTGAGATGTGGTCCGAGAAAGACACGAGCCTCTGGTTGACGTTTTAAGTAGATCCGCCTGCTAAGCAGCGCGGAACCATCACACTCAGATCCAAATATAAACACAGACAGCATTCAGAGAAACGTCATTCTCTTCAGCGCAGAGCTCACCTGGAGGAGAGTCCAGACAAAGCCTTGTTCAGGACCTCGGGGGTGTCATCAGGAGGAACTGGCACCTCGGGGACTCCTGAGTCCACCTTGGACTCACTGTCAGAAACCCCATCTTTGTCTGGCTTCAGCTCGCTGTCTGAGCCCTGAAACACAGAAGAGGAAACACGGAGACCTTCAGCTGCTCGTTTGCTGCGGAGACATCAGTGACAGGGTTCAGTCGTTTAGACGGAATCCTAAAAACAACGTGAGTGACGGAAGTGTCTCCGGACTGGCTGAGAAACTCACTTACAGATGTTTGAACCAACACCAGGGCTATTTTCACTGGAATCCATCTTTTGTTTAGACATATTTAACTATGATCTGTCCTAAAGTAGCACACACGTCATTTTACTGTAGGGCAGGGGTGCCCAATCCTGGTCCTGGAGGGCCGGTATCCAGCAGGTTTTGTGGTTTTTCTACTCCAACACACTTGATTAACTGGTTGAATCACCTGTGCAGCATCTCATCAGGCTCTGCAGAAGCCTGTTAATCACCTACTGATTGAAATCAGGTGTGCTGAAGCAGAGTTAAAACTAAAACCTGCTGGATACCGGCCCTCGAGGACCAGGATTGGGCACCCCTGCTGTAGGGGAAGCTCCTCGGTTGTGTGAAACAGCAGCAGTTAGCTTGGAGAGACGTCCAAAAAACAAAATTACTACCATCAAACCACAAATGCACCTTTTTAATACAACGGTGATTTGCTTCAGTGCCTAAACAAAAACAAAACCATCTTTGGTACATTCTTGATGTGTCTGATTTCTAATTCCATTTTTGGTTATTTTCTTAAAACACAGAAAAGGTTTCTTTTTACCTTGTTTGCTGACAGTTTCGCGAACAAAACTGTCAGCAAACAAGGTAAAAAGAAACCTTTTCTGTGTTTTAAAAAAAGAACCAAAAATGGAATTAAAAACAAAACCAGCTTCACTATGTCAGACCTGTCGTATTTAGTAAAGAGGAGAGCCAACGCTGAGCTGTGGGGGCGGCAAGCTCGGCAACAAATCATTTCCTTTGCTATCGCTGTAGCCTCTCAGCCATCTGCTGAGTGGAAGAGTGTGTTAAAACACACCGATCTCTGTCCCTACCAATAACCAAAGGTAGAAGTTACCAGACAACGACATGGTCGAGTGGATCCGATCCCCTCAGCAGTGATGAAATCAGACTGGTTATTCATGTTGCTGCCTGGAACAGGCTGTCAGCACATGTAGCTCCATTCGATTACGAGTGACAGAACTCTAGGATGTCGAGACTCAATAAAATAAAATAAAAATCTTCAGCGGACTCTAAAGTTAATCTGATCTAAACGCAAAGACTCCACCACTCGTTAAACCATCCATGTCTCACTTTTAGCCGCAATAATGTAAAGTTATTATTCTGAATGACTAAAAGGACCTTTATGGATGCAGTGAAAGAGTAGAGAATGCAGAAGACGGGTCTAATGGGCCATTCCCATCTGTACCGGGTCGGCCCGGGCCGGGTAGCGTAGGTTGTTTACATATCTGGGTGGCCTGGTATTTTTCCGGGCCAACCAAGGCTCATTCTCAGCCCTCTTCTCGAGGGGGTCTGCTTCAGGCCGACCAGGGCCAACACACCCACTGCTGACAGCAGATTCACACCTTCCATTAGAGCAAGCCTCTGATTGGTGGGTAGAATCAGCCCACATGGGCTTAAGACAAGGATGTGTGGAATCAACCGGGCCAGGCTGGGGCCGACTGGGGCTACCCGGCCCGGGCCGACCCGGTACAGATTGGAATGGCCCATACATGGAGGCAGACGATTGGCTGTGGTGGCGCCTAAAGGGACACGCCCAAATACAACGAAGGAGTCCTGCTCTGGATGACTTCACCAGGTTGCTGTGGTGGAACACCTTTTTGTCGACATTTGAACGTGTTAGCAGTCACACGTTCACATTTGTTTGATTTTACAGGGAAGCTGGTCAGTAAAACCCCAGAAGATCATTTCCTGTGTGCCTCAAAAACCAAAGTTCATAAAAACAACAACAGTTCAGATCTGAGTGATCCAGAAATCCCATTAGTGTCACACACACACACACAGACTAACACACACACACACACACACACACAGACACACACACACACACACACACACACACACACACACACACACACACACACACACACACACACACACACACACACAGGACCATTTTCTGCCCGCTGGTTTCTATGGAGACACCATCCATCAGGATGCCAGAGTTAAAAATAGAAGTTGCTTTCACCCACACCCTCCACCGCTTTCATGCCAGATGCCATCCTCTCTTTTCAGTAGCCAACAGACTAAAGGGGACCGGGACACCTTGGGGGGTGATGGAAGTTTACGGATATGTTTGAGTGCACAGATGAAGTATTAGACTGAAACCTCACACACACACACACACACACACACACACACACACACACACACACACACACACACACACACACACACACACACACACACACACACACTCAACTAAAAACCTGAAACAATGGTCAGAGTGGTCTCTAATTGCTGCTGAGGCTGCAGCCTTCCTCCTGTGAATAAACTGAATCTGAACGTGAAGCCATGCCCAGTCCTAATGCTTCTTCTTACCGTTGAGTTGGGACACTTTGCCTTCGGTGGTGTGTGAATATTCGGCAAATTAAGTGTAAACACTCCAACTGGCTCAGTACGTTACCACTTTAGTCATATAATAAAACTAGGGATGCACCGATGGATCGGCATTTGATCCCAATCGGCCAATAGCGCCCCTATTGGTTTTGATCGGAGTTTTCAAAATAGATCAAAGCAGACCGACAGACCATTTTAGATTAGGTTACATTTCCTTTATTCCCAGATTATGTAGTTTGTAGCACTCATTAAATTTCTGGCCAATCCACGTGATCGGTATCGGTGATCGGTATCGGCAGCAAAAAACCTGATCGGTGCATCCCTAAATAAAACACAACAATATTTTCCTTTCTAAGCCCCAGTGTTTACTTCATACTTGAACCTGCTGCATTCCTGACCTCTTCCATACACGTGTCACTAAAGCTAATGGGAAAACGCTAACTCTTGTGACCTGTTTTAGTAGCAAGATAAAAAAAACTGCAACCCAGCTTATCTTTGATTGAATTCAGCATATTTGGGAGAATAAACACAGTAACCTGCATGCTCTCCCTCTTCATTATAACTAAATAAATGCAGTAATAATAAAAATAGTGTTTAACCCTAACGCTGATGTTCTATGCCTTCATCCAGGCTGACCTTATAAAGGAATACCCTGCCACATCAAAAAGGAGTGAGCAAACACATGAGCTATGCTGTTGTTCTTCTGCTGCTCCAGATACAATTTAAACTGAAGTAATAAAAAAGTTCCAGTGTAGGCAGTCAGAACAATCAGAACTTGAATTTCTACTCTTGCATCATGCACACAGGAAGTGTGGGCACACCAGAGGTCATTTAGCTCATTTTAATCTGGAGTATGTTGTCCTCGATGACAGCCAGATGTCCTCACTTTAATCTGTGCATGTGGACATTCACAAACACAAAAGTCTCCATGTTTACCTCCATTAAACAAACTTCTCAAAAGTGGTTCTGCTCGGGCCTTTTCCTCAGTTAGTGTCTGATTAACTTTGTGTTCTTTTCATTAGCCAACAGCCAACAGTGTCTCTACAGTCGTAGCCAAAGTTTGCAGCTAAACTGCTTTTAAATATTTGTTTCAGTTGTTTCTGTGATGAACTGAAATATGATTACAAGCACTTTGCATGTTTCAAAGGCTTTTATCAACAATGACATGACATTTACGCAAACAGTCAGTATTTGCATTGTTGGCTCTTCTTTTTTGGGACCTCTGCAGTTCGACTAGGCATGCTCTCAATCAACTTCTGGGCCAAATCCTGACTGATAGCAAGCCATTCTTTCATAATCACTTCTTGGAGTTTGTCAGACGTAGTGGGTTTTTGTTTATCCACTCGCCTCTTGAGGACTGACCACAAGTTCTCAATGGGATTAAGATCTGGGAAGTTTCCAGGCCAAAATTTCAACATTTTGGCCCCCGAGCCAATGAGTTATCACCTTTGCCTTATGACACGGTGCTCCATCGTGCTGGAAATTGTACTCAGAACTTTTGGCCACGACTGTATGTTGTGCTCTAGAGGAGCTGGCTACAATGAAACACGGTTTTCAGCACTGGAAATCTATAAAAATTTATGATAGAGACAAAAACAATTACTGAAAATCTGCAATAATTTATTAATGACAAAATATTGACATCCAGTCATGAGCCTGATAATCCAACAACACTCTTGAATTAGCAGATTATTACCTAAAAGCATCTACAAGTGAAATAACTAAGTGTATATGTTGAATAAAAACATCCAGCAGAATAGTTTGGGTTAAACTGGAAAAAGTACTGGTGAATAAGCTCCGCTAGGCTGGTTTATTTACTCGATTCTGGTCAGCCACGCCCCCGCCACGCCCCTCTAACGGCTCCAGCACCTCATCAGGTCTCATATCCACCTCGTTAGAACAGAACACTTGCTACAGACTAGAGTAATGGACTAGGTTCGTGGTTTTCTTTCACTACAAAATAAAACCGGTGGAGTCAAACTAAAGCTGCAAGTCCAGGCAGGCCCACAGTGAAGTAGCTAAAGTTTAACTATTCTTCAGATTAAGCACAGTCGGGTCAATGTGAAAGATTAGCGATTTAAAACAGCTGATGGCTTCGGAAAGATCCGATAGACCGTGGTCTGCTTAATGCCAACTCCTACCAAACTACAGTTTAGGTTCAAGCGTTTTCTGCTGCGTAGCTTAGCATTCAGTCAAATGACCGTTTCCACCAATAACAACTGGTTTTCAAACACAAAACACGTGAGCCCAGGGATCGGCGCGCATTAAATGTCAAAACTGCACATCATTGTTTATATTTTTTACGTTTTGTTTTGGGTTAACGTGTGTTTGCATCGAACGCTCAGCCCATGTTAACGGTACGAGCATCAGTCAGGGCAACATTTTTTTCTTTAAGGATACGAGTGTACCAGCTGCACTTAATGCTATTATATTAGGAATGTCTCGTTTTCAGTCATAGGACGGCATCACAGAGCTAGGAGGCTACTTGTTAGCATTGATGTCCGGCTACGTTACCTTGTCCTCTGACGGCTGCTGCTGGTCGGTGTCTCTAGCTCCACGATGCCTTAGATCTGTCATCTTAGCTAACGGAAGCCAAATACGAAAGAAAAAACAGTTCAAGAAGTAAAAAGGTTCCGTTTGTTGATAAACTCCTAGGCTTCAAGCTAGATGTTACGCGACAAGACTTTTTCTTTTTAACTCTGAGAACCCAAACGATGATAAAGAGACTTTCCGGTTTTCTAAATAAAATCTTCACCTTACCAAATGACGTAAGAAAACAAGCGGTAAGATAATGGATGCAAGTTTTATTGCGTTTTAGTAGTTATGACGGGTTATATAAGTGAAGAAGTTCCTGCTATCCCAATATTTAGGCTACCTTGCTTTCAACGCCAATAATAATTTTTAAGTGGTCTGTTTTATTTTGAAGGAATAGACAAGAAGTTGTTAATGATTAATCCCCCCAACGCTGCATGTAGTAACAATTTCCGTCCGCCAGATGGCGGAAGATCCTTAATTTCACAGCCAGACATGAAAGGATTCAGTGGTTATTTTTCCATCCAGTTGACCTAAATACTGCATATATAAATACATTCCTTGCAGACAGCGTCTATGGCAATCAGTCAAATCAAATGACAGATTACAAGCAGCCTAATTGCATCAACAGTTTATTTAGGCAAAGAACAAACTTTGTTATCATTTTAATAACAATTTTTCAAAGGCAAATCTCAAAGTGACAGACTTAATTGAAATGCACATACATCTTTAAAAATTCTATTGAAATACAACATGGTTTAGGGTGTAAGGCAAAGCTGTCCAGAAAATAACATTTGTAGCCCCTTTCACTTACCTTTTATTTGTTGGGACCCATGAGTAGACACGGAGAGGAGGAAACTAATTGAGTTTAATACTGTATTTTACATTGTTACATAACTTGAACTTGAACTATTTTTTTAGCTAAATGAAAAGACAAAAGACTCTTAGAGCAATAGGGAGTCAGTCTCCTTCCCTTCCGGTTGACTCATAGGTCCCCGTTCGGCTCATGCCAATTAATGAAAATGAATGGGGCCTAACCCTAACCCTGAATCGCATATACACTCAACAAAAATATAAACGCAACACCTTTGTTTCTGCTCCGATTTTTCATGAGATGGACTTAAAGATCTAAAATTCATTCCAGTTACACAATATTACCATTTCTCTCAAACATTGTTCACAAATCAGTCTAAATGTGTGATAGTGAGCACATCTGCTTTGCTGAGATAATCCATCCCACCTCACAGGTGTGCCACATCAAGATGCTGATCCGACATCATGAGTAGTGCACAGGTTATACTGCCCACAATAAAAGGCCACCCTGGAATGTACAGTTTTGTCTCACAGCAAAATGCCACAGATGCCACAAGCATTGAGCGAGTGTGCAATTTGCATGCTGACAGTAGGAATGTCAACCAGATCTGTTGCTCATGCATTGAATGTTCATTTCTCCACCATAAGCCGTCTCCAAAGGCGTTTCAGAGAATATGGCAGTACATCCAACCAGCCTCACAACCGCAGACGACGTGTAACCACACCAGCCCAGGACCTCCACATCCAGCAGGTTCACCTCCAAGATTGTCTGAGACCAGCCACTCAGACAGCCGCTGAAAAAATTGGTTTGCATAACCAAACAATTTCTGCACAAACTGTCAGAAACTGTCTCAGGGAAGCTCAACTGCATGCTCATCATCCTCACCGGGGTCTTGACCTGACTCCAGCTTGTCGCCGTTACAGACTTGAGTGGGCAAATGCTCACATTTGATGACGTCTGACACGTTGGAGAGGTGTTCTCTTCACGGATGAATCTCGATTTACATTGTTCAGGGCAGATGGCAGACAGCGTGTGTGGTGTCTTGTGGGTGAGCGCTTTGCTGATGTCAATGTTGTGGATCGAGTGGCCCATGGTGTTGGTGGGGTTATGGTTTGGGCAGGCATCTGTTATGGACGAAGAACACAGGTGCATTTTATTGATGGCATTTTGAATGCACAGAGAAGAAGAAGAAGAAGAAGAAGAAGAAGAAGAAGAAGAAGAAGAAGAAGAAGAAGAAGAAAATATAATTTCTGTAGCACCTCTCAAGATAAAAATCACAAGGTGCTTCACAAAAACAAAAAATGTAAAAATATTAAAGAGGATTTAGAAAATGGTTAAAATATATTTAAAATGTGCAAGAAATAGACAATTGTGATTAAAAAATGTTAAGAAAGAGAGAGAGTAAATAGGAAAGAGGGAAATCAGTGGACTGCGATGGACTGGCTCTCTGTCCAGGGTGTACCCCACCTGATTGCCCGTTGATCGCTAGAGATAGGCACCAGCTCCCCCCGTGACCCTGCGTAGACAAAGTGGGTTCAGACCATGGATGGATGGATGGATGGATGGATGGATGGATGGATGGATGGATGGATGGATGGATGGATGGATGGATGGATGGAAGGATGGAAATCAGTGGATCCTGAGGAAGGTGGAATAGGTCGGGAAAGCAGAATAAAGAGAGAGTGGTGAAGAAGGTCAGCCAGCTTGAACAAGTGAGTTTTCAGCTGCTTTTCAAAGGAGTCCACTGAGTCCACTGATCTCAGGCTCAGGGGGAGAGAGTTCCAGAGTCTGGAGGCCACAGCAGCAGATGATCTGTCAGCTTTGGTCTTTAGCCTGGTGCTGCACAACCAGTAGACTTTGATCACTGGACCTCAGGGACCTGCTGGGGGTGTAGGGACTAAGAAGATCACCAATGTAAGATGTTACATATTGGTCTTGTCAATTGAGTCCAAGCAGTCTAAACTTGGAGACGGCCCCAGACATATACGTCTTTGAGTGTAGCCATAGACATATATTTCTATGAGTGTAGCCATAGATTTACACATGTCTATGAGTGTAGCCATAGATTTACACATGTCTATGAGTGTAGCCACAGACATACATGTATATGATTGTAGCCATATATAAATATATGTTTATGTGTGTAGCCATAGATATAGGTCAATGAGTGTAACCATAGATATATGTCAATGAGTGTAGCCATAAACACATGTCTATGAGTCTAGCTATATATATATATATATACATGTCTATGAGTGTAGTCATATATAAATATATGTTTATGTGTGTAGCCTTAGATATAGGTCAATGAGTGTAACCATAGATATATGTCAATGAGTGTAGCCATAAACACATGTCTATGAGTCTAGCTATATATATATACATGTCTATGAGTGTAGTCATATATAAATATATGTTTATGAGTGTAGCCATAGATATAGGTCAATGAGTGTAACCATAGATATACACATGTCAATGAGTGTAACCATAGATATACACATGTCAATGAGTGTAACCATAGATATATGTCAATGAGTGTAGCCATAAACACATGTCTATGAGTCTAGCTATATATATATACATGTCTATGAGTGTAGTCATATATAAATATATGTTTATGAGTGTAGCCATAGATATAGGTCAATGAGTGTAACCATAGATATACACATGTCAATGAGTGTAACCATAGATATATGTCAATGAGTGTAGCCATAAACACATGTCTATGAGTCTAGCTATATATATATATACATGTCTATGAGTGTAGTCATATACATGCAGTATACATCTATGAGTGTAGCCATATATGTATATACATACTTGTTTATGAGTGTAGCCATAGATACACACATGTCTATGAGTGTAGCCATAGATACACACATGTCTATGAGTGTAGCCATAGATACATGATTATGAGTGTATCCATAGATATACAGTTGGTAAGCAAAGCCTTCACTGATTCCTCCTCTTCAGATATACAGTATATTATTTTGTACAACTGTAAAACCTGCTGTTATTTGCAGATTTACCACTAAGTGGCAGCAAATGCTCACTGTGCTATATGGTTAGCGAATGTAGACTATTGTGGATGCTCTGTGGCCTGCCAGCTCTCTGTATCTATAAATATTTAATATCCTGCCACTGTAGCTGCAGAATTAGGTGGGGGGGGCTGTTGCCCAAATACAGCAATTTGATCAGAACTATGAAGTCTTTTGTCTGGAACCAAGTTTTCTGTAAAGACTTTTTAGTTTACAAACAAATCAATACAAGATTCCTTTATTCCTTCATCGGTATTACTTCTTCCTGTGATGGGTTTTTGTAAGCTTCCACCACAAGATGCACTACATAAACATTTTTTTAACTTCTGATTATGACTATTATTCATCTTCTGTTCCTACTTCTTCGGTTAATTCTCGCTGATAATTAACATAAATTAATTTAGACTTTTTTAATTAATCATTTATCGCCACTTGTGTTTACCTTTGATTATTTGTTAATGTTTAACAGGGAGGATGTCCCTTTGGGAGCCCCACTACACACACACACACACACACACACACACACACACACACACACACCATTATCAGTCAGGGATGGCAGGATAACTAGGGAGGCACATAAATGTTTTTCCCCTGTGCTTACGAAAACAAAATTATTGGAAAATTAAATGAAAAATATTGCTGAAGGGAAATTATTTTAAATCTGTCAGGGATTCACCTTTATTCTCAGATCCAGCTGCTATCCAACAGCGATTTTTAAGCTAAGCCGGGAATGTGGAACTGGCATCACGGATCTCATGCCACCCACCCAAAGATTAGACCTGCAGTGTTTCCAGTGGAACTGTTTTATCCGTGCTGCAGTGTGATGCTTCGCCTGTACTTGCACGTCGTGACCAGTCCCATCATATCGTGACTCTCTTCATGTGTTGCAAAGTTAGACTGCTGCTCCTGGCCTCCTTCGGTTTAAGTCTCTGCCAGCCTAAATTTTGGCTGGGACTCCTCAGCTGCTCCTCCAGAACTGCAGGGCTCTGGGACATCTGCAATGCAGAAGTCTATATATAGCAACGAGAGTTTGAGGGAGAAGGAGAGGGAGACACAGACAGACGGAGGCAGAAGGATGAAGAGAGGACTAGAAACAGTAAATGAAACGATGTCTTTGACAGAAGCCAACCAGTGCTCAGCACTAACTTTTTCTCAGTGTTTTCAGAAAAGGTACACTCCTGTTGGTGGGAGCTGGAAGCTGTGAAGTGAAACACACAGTTTACTGGAAAGAGCAGCCTCAAATCCCTCCAGGAGTGAACACAGGAAGTTTGAGATTGTAGCAAAAAGAACTCTTTAGAGATTATTTAACAGCACTCATGCATTTAAGTCCCTTGAG